AACATATCCTACAACGAAGCTAGAAGGATTGTCAAAAGGAGATTTGAACGCAAGATTGATGATTTCCCAGTATTAAGAGAGAAGGAATTGGCTAGAATCTATGGTTTAGTTGGCTGTCAACCCTTCAGTGAAGCTGTCGAAAAGCCAACAAAAAAAAGATGATGTTAACAAGCCCGACACCTTCAGCAGCCCGATCCCTCCACGAAAGGACGATCATCTGAAATATCATACTCAGGTTCAAACTTACCTTCCAACCCAGTAGAGGCTGATGCCTTTTTCAACAAAAATATGGCCAAAATGCTTACTGGTAAAGAAGTAAAGGACCCCAAAGCTAGTAATCTCACCACTATTGATAAACCCAAGAAGACCAGTGAAATACAATCTATAAAAAAGGACTCGCAGAGACCACCAGGCAAAAACAACCGGGAATGAAGAAAATTTAAATAAACTTCCGAAATTAATTCGCTACTTATTTTATTATTCATTCAAATTTCAAATAATTTAAATTTTCTTAAATTTTAACTACCTTTTCAAATAATTTCTATAATCTTTTAATTTTTACATAACCTATCTCTTTACAAACTAAACTCAAATTTAAAAATTCTGCAATGGAATAGCAGAGCAATCAGAAACAAACTTGAATTCCTTAAGTATGTTAACAATTTTCAGGTGATTGCATTGTCGGAAACCTTTCTGGGACCAGACATCAACTATAAAACCAATGGCTACAACTGCATCAGAAAAGACAGACCTGATGAGGAAGGAGGTGGGGTTGCTCTCTTCATTCAGGAAAATCTTGTATTCGATGATGCCACATGAAATAGTGTGCCGTCCAACCTGGAATATTGTTGTGTGTCACTGACGACCTCATTGGGTAATATTTACAGACTCCCTCACTACCGCCTTAATTTCAAATCTGAGAAGTGGGAAACGTTCTTAGACGAACTAGGTAATTTACCCTCTTACTTACTAGTAGGTGATTTTAATTGGGGCAGTGACCATAGTTGTATTAATGGCAGATTAATTGTTAATAATTTTAACCCAGATATCTTACACCTTTTAAATAATGGACCACTGACTCATTATCCCCTTACTAACGATAAGTTTTCGGAGACAAGTGTTGATTTATCCTTTGTTTCACCTAATCTAGCCATTATCTCATAAGGTCTGTTGGAAATTATGGTTGGTCTAGCAACCACTACCCATTAACGATTGATATTATTATTAGTCCCCTCTTTATTCCAGGATCAGATTTTAGATACAACCTGAAACAATTAATTTGGCCTTTATTCTACCCAAAATTAGAAAACTTATAAAACTCTTTTGACAACATCGAATTCATCAATTCTTCAGCTTTAGACAGGTATAACACGTTTGTAGGACTTATTACCACCTGCATTAAAGAATCTTTAGCATCTAAAAGACCTACTTAAAGACCTCGTGTCTCTGACTCAATACTATCTGGTGGAATGAAAAATGTGATAGAGCTGTTGGACTACACAAAGCTAAATTTAAGTCACTTAAATATAGAATCTCGATGGAATCATTCATCGAATATAAAAGGATTTTTGCTATAGCTAGGAAAACTCTAAAGGAAGAAAAACGATCTAATTTTCGACTTTATTGTGAGTCATTAAATAATTTCTCCAGCGTCTCTGATATTTGGAATAAAATTAAGTCTTTTAGAAACGGTTTTGACAGACTTATCTCTTCCACATCCAACGCCAAAACTCTCGACACCTCGCTTAAACGTTTAGACAGTTTATGTTTACCCATTGAAGACAAATTCACGTCTGTCAATTCCAAGGTTTTTGACCTGCTTGACACATACGTCTCAGTTGACTCCTACCTTTTATATCCCTTTTCGTATGATGAACTGCTTTGTGCCCTTAGTACAGTTAAAGTAAAATCATCTCCAGGGATTGACAGGATAAATTATGAAATAATTATTCAACTACCTGAACACTCGTTAAGAGTTTTACTTTACATATATATGACATATATTTCAGTGGCCAATTTCTGCCTGATTGGCATACTTACTTAGTCGCTTTTATTCCAAAAGCCAACAAAAAACATTAACAGATGAGGGACAGATACAGTCGCTATGTAACATCGAACATCACCCTGCAGCTTCGCGCATCGACATGGCTTGCACTCTTTTCTTTTCGGTTTTTCTGGCTGAGGCATTTTGTATGGATTACCAAGAACATAATGGATACAATCAAGTTCTCGTGGATAGCGATAGCACGACAGACTTATGCAAATAATCTCGGCGGGTCTTATTTTCACCCAAACGTATTGATGAATTCTCATAGTGCCAGGAAAGCACTTAAATTCAGGAATAATGAGTGCTGTGTCAGCCTCATCAATGTTACTCTTAGATATGACTTGAATATAAGTCTTGATATCTTTTTGACGTAAGATTTCAACAAATTCAGTTAAAATCTGAGCAACTGCCCCATAGGCTACTGCGCTGTTTACAATTTGCTTGACAGTGCCCCCGACACCATCATGAATGTCTTTTCCATGACAAGCTTCACTAGAATTCCAAACAATTACCTTTGGTTGAGGAAATCGTCTAGATGTGTACTGGCTAAAAATGTAAAAAACTTTCTTGCTCCAAAATTGAGTTGTTGACCCATCACTTTTAACATGGAGGAACTTCGTGTCTGAAGTAGCCTTGAAGGCTCACAAAAGACGTAACTATGCCAAAAGTTGGAAGAAGTCGAATTGGAAGGAAGACTTCAAATGCATCTAATGAATACAATTTTAGGCGCGAAGAAAATGATGCTGAACATTTATCGAGATTAAAGTAGCATCAAAATTAATAAACAAAGAATTTATTAAGTGAGAGATCAGCTTTTTACTATAACCCTCATAGGAATCTCTTGAATCTTCCAGATTTTTAAATAAGTAGAATATGTATTTGTATTTTTGTGGCGATAAAAAATGTAGAGTTCAAGCTCCAGGACTCTGTTGCTGTGGTAATGAAGTTGTGAGATAAGAGAAAAAAAAATTTTTTTTAATATATATTTTTTGGGAGTTTTAAATCTTAACAGCTTTAAAAAATAGTCATGTTCATAGATTATACGGGAGAAACTGCAACTCAAAGGCCTTTTAGGGCCAATGATCATTTTATGACAAGGAATGCACGGTTCTTTTCAGCATAATTATATTTTTTTCACTTTTTACAGCTTTTTACTTGATAAAATAAACTGTATGGATTCCGAACAAATATGTTTTTAATAACAAGATTTTTGTTCTGAGAAGTTTCAGAAATAAATGTGAAGTTTTTGACTAAAAACGTTTTATATTTTATGTTAACACACTAAGATGTTCTATTTAGTAAGTCTCGGGCGAAGCCGAGACGGGGTAAGATCGCTAGTATATTAATGTAGGAATATACGAATGTACGTGTATAGGTGTTTACATGTATGCATGCATAAAGAGTGTATGTTTATATGTACATGTCAAAGTTTGTGATATTATCTTAACCATATTGTAGACACGTAATTGTATGTATGCAAACTTGTAAAGTCATTGTATTGTAATGACCAAATTTACTCTATATAAAAAGGTCTATAAAATAATATTCAATTCAATTTGAATGTGCGAGACTCGTATCGAACAGCGTGTGCCTACGAGAAGAGGAGTGGATTCACGTGGAAATGAACAAAATATAAGCGCACATTTTGGAGACACGTGGAAAGGGTATACCGAATGTATGCCTACTAGGAGAAGAGCGGAAATGTCGAATATAGCTGAGCACACAGCCAAAGCAAGCGACGACGCGAGTTTTTTTCGTTTGACTGAAACCAAGTACATGCTATATATATTTAACTGACTCTTGCTCTCGCTCTTACTTGAATGTTATCTATCAATCTTATTTAACTAAATCGTGGAACTAAATGCTCATAATTATATGCACAGGCATTTGATTTCAAAACTTTTTTTCCCATACGTTAATACTTATTTTGAAATCCAGTATTACTTTGAAAAAATATTTAGCTATTTTTTTTAAGAATGGCAGTTCAGCTATAACCACTAATTTATCATTTTTCCTCATCATAATTGTTAACAACTGTAGGACAAGCTCCGAAGGTTATCGATAAACATACGCAACTTCAAGATGTATCTCACTCGAACTTCCGATAGCTAAGATAGTTAAGGTTTATGTCACTGCACGTATTGTTTTGCTATGCAAGGACTGATTCCAAGTGTCAGATTTTTTTTTTGTTTAATGCAATTCGTTATTCTGGTTAATTTCTTTTTATTTACGTTTCATTTAAATTTATAAATTATGTTACAAACACTTTTTCCTGCACGTCAAAAATATAAATATATTTTTAACATCAGTTATATTAAATAATTTGGTAAGTTGATACTTCTCGCTGGCAAGGCCATTTCATAATTTCATCATCATAAAAAAAATTTCTTAGGATACGAGTGATTCTTACATTTAAAACTCCCAAAAATTATAAACAACCAACGTAAGAGAGAGAAAATCCGAAGGCCCAAGAAAACTTATCTTTATTACAATAACATCAAATATGATTACTACTAGCAAAGTAGATCATACATCCAATTATACAAGAATATTTGTCTGCATACTTATATTATATTTTCTGGCTTGTATTTACGTTCCTTATAATTTATACCTTGTGGTTAGAACCACTTGTAACTCCCAGTATGCGCTATGTGAATTCACTTGTAGCGCCGCCCTCTTGATAATCAATGAAACTGACGAGAGGCAGGCAAACAAACCGAAATAACATGTCTGAGATAGGAGCCGTTGGAGAAAAAGTTGAATCTCTAATAAAAAAAACAGCCTACGCATTGGTGCAGTGTTCCCCAGTGTAAATTTAGAAAGGATCCTACGTACATCGATTTCCACAAGATAAAAAACAATGCCAGGCACCAATGCGAAAGCGGTTTTTATTAGAGATTCAACTTTTTCTCCAACGGCTCCTATCTCAGACATGTTAATTCGGTTTGTTCACCTGCCTCTCGTCAGTTTCATTGATTGTCATGAGGGCGGCGCTACAGGCGAGTTAACATCGCAGATGAATTTCAAAAATATAAAAGTTTTGGGTTTATACATAATTTTTATCAATTTATATTTTTTTTTCCAAGAAATGATGAAGCTGTTCTGATCAATATTTTTATTCATCCATACAATATACATAATCTTTGGATTGTAAACTCACCCTTGAGTTATCCATTAAAATCATTTAAAATACGAATTAACAAAAAACCTCGCTCATAACGCTTTAATTTCAAAAATAAAATCTTTAGTATTCTGCATCACCCTCATAAATTATAGTTTAATTTTTTTTTTTTTTTTTTAATTTAGTTGTTTAAACTACTTAAAAATAATAAAATTGCAGAAAACGAAATACTAGGTAGTCTTGAACATCATAGCAAATAAACCTAAGCCCGTAAAAACACTCTAGAACTAGAATTTTGGTTTTTTAAATGGCCAAANTTTATGTTTTTACTGATAATAATTTAAACATGCAGTAATTCGAGATAGATGAACGCTAATGATTTGCCTTGATAATTTAGACCAATAATTAAGTTTAGCTGATTAGCTCTTATTCATTATAGTACGCAAGAAAAAAGCTTCAACTGCTTAACGAAGAATCAATCTCGATCTATAAGATATGTTTGTCATTACTGTTCAGACTTTTGTTGCAAAATTTTCAAAGGTATTAAGTTTTGATATCTACATACGCTAATTAAAACTTTGGTCTAGAACCAATATTTTATAATTAAAATTGAAATTATGCATGTAATCAATACAACAATAGTCTTACTCGTCTTCTATACATCCTATATGTATCCTTCAAAGCATAAATTGTTGGTTTTTGTGTGCTTTATCTGTGGTTAAATAAACAAATTATGAACACTTTTTGAGAAAATCGATAAAGTAAAACAGGTGCTTCGGAAAAATGCTTGCCAATCGGCGAAAACCGACCGTACGATAAATATACGGGTACGTATGTGTTAAGGAAGACTTACGTTTGCAAAATCATCCAATAAAGTCCTTAACAAAGCGGGTGAAATATTGTTAATTGGGCGTCCGCGGCAGCTCGACGAGCGAGCGTCGGGGAAGGGCGATGTGGTGGGGGATAGCATAAGACTGCTGTGCTCTCTCGTCACTGCTCTCTGCTCCTCTCTTGTCTGTGCTCTGTGCTCTCTCTCGTTAAGGGGGCTCCTTCACGAAAATCCCCAAACAGAGATATATTATTTCTTGTAAATAAAAGTCTACTGAATTTAATGGTGGTCTAAATTATATTTCGAATGGGTCAAAATTTTGAGAAATCCGAGCTCAAAGTTGTAACTATTAGCACGTGTTCCTATGAGGCAGCGTGAAAAACAATTTGTTTTCGTTTATAATAAACCTAAATTAAATGTCCCAGCAGACTGAATATATACGTTTTGTAGATGAAGTCTTCCTCTGTAATATGCTGTATTGAAAATTATGGATAAAGGACCATTTTAGCGAGATATTTGTGATGGAAATAAATAAATAGTGTCCGGGAGGTCAGGAGGTCACGTGGGTAGCAGACGTACTTGTTCACGACATATATATACCATATACCTATACATTACATCACTATACTACACCAACACAGGTGGTCTGGTCTGGTGGTGTACCCTCGTATGCACTAGACTGGTCAAAACAATAATTAATTTTTCGTAAAAATTTAAACTACACACGTAAATATCATTTTTCCCACTTCATACGTTATTAAAAATATAATAATGATTTTTAGACACATTTGTTTATTGAAAAACAAAACTTTATTTTTTGTTTGTCTTTGACCTCAGCAGTAGTCGTAGGAGCCCCCTTAAGCTGCCGCAGACGCCAAGTTTATGATATTTCAAATGCTTTGTTAAGGACTTTATTGGATGATTTTGCAAACGATTTAGCAATAAATTTGTAGAGTAAATCTTCCTTAACACATACGTACCCGTATATTTATTGTACGGCCGGTTTTCGCCGATTGGCAAGCATTTTTCCGAAGCACCTGTTTTACTTTATCGATTTTCTCAAAAAGTGTTCATGATTTGTTCATTTAATATAAACCATAGATAAAGGACACAAAAACCAACAATTTATGCTTTGGAGGATACATCTAGGATGTATGGGAGACGAGTAATTAATTTTTGAAAAATCGCAATTTTTCGCTGTTATTATTTTTTACGTAAAAAAATGTTTAATTTTGATTGATAAAAACTCATTTTTTTTTGTCTTTTTAAGATCTACATGACAATATTTTTTGTTTTTGGTTTATATATATTTTTTAAGCCCTTTTAGTGCAAAAAAGTGGTTTTAGGCGACATTTTCGCAGCAAAAAATTGCCCTATTTTTCCCTACCTCCTCCCAGTAATAGGGGCCTCCCATCCCTTTTCCCTTCCTTCTCTCAAGGGCTAAGTGCCCAGAGTAGTGCCCTTTGTAGGAGCCAGACATAAAGCACTATAATATAAAATAAATTAATGGGTCATGGGACCCACGGTAAGAACGAAGTTCTTTAAACATGAGATGAGTATAGACACAATTTCTTAGGTAACAAGGGGGTCGCCAGACCCACAGGAAGAACGAAGCTCTGTAAACGTTAGTACTGCATTCATGTTGTTTACTAAAACAAAAACTTGAAAAAC